GGGACGAGGACGAGGAGGACGAGGAGGAGGAGGAGGACGAGGAGGAGAAGGAGGATGAGGAGGAGGAGGACGAGGAGGACCAGGAGGAGGAGGAGGACGAGGAGGAGGAGGACAAGGAGGAGGATGAGGAGGAGGAGGATGAGGCGGAGGAGGAGGAGTACGAGGAGGAGGAGGAGGACGAGGAGGAGGAGGGGTAGGAGGACGGGGAGGAGGAGGAGGCGGAAGAGGTTTAGGAGGAGGAGGAGGAGGAGGAGGAGGAGGAGAAGGATGAGGAGGGGGAGGAGGAAGAGGCCGAGGAGGAGGATGACGAGGAGAACCAGGAGGACAAGGAGGACAAGGAGGAGGAGGACGAGGAGGAGGAGGAGCAGGGGGTGGAGGAGGAGGAGGAGCAGGAGGACGAGGAAGACGATGACGAGGACAAGGAGGAGAAGGACGAGGAGGCGGAGGACGAGGAGGACGAGGAGGACGAGGAGGACGCGGAGGAGGACGAGGAGGACGAGGATGAGGACGAGGACGAGGAGGACGAGGAGGATTAGGAGGACGAGGAGTAGGACAAGGAGGAGGATGAGTAGGAGGACGAGGAAGAGGAGGAGGCGGAGGAGGAGGAGGAGGACGAGGAGGAAGAGGTTGAGGAGGAGGATGACGAGGAGGCCCAGTAGGAGGAGGAGGAGGAGGAGGAGAAGGAGGAGGAGGAGGAGGAGGAGGAGAAGCAGGAGGATGGGGAAGACGAGGACGAGGACAAGGATGAGAAGGATGAGGAGGAGGAGGAGGACGAGGAGGAGGAGGACGAGGAGGACGAGGAGGAGGAGGACGAGGAGGATGAGGAGGATGAGGAGGACGAGGAGGAGGAGGAGGACGAGGAGGAGGACGTGGAAGGGGCATGAGGAGGAGGACGAGGAGGACAAGGAGGACGAGGAGGGGGACGAGGAGGCGGACGAGGAGGACGAGGTGGACGAGGAGGACGAGGAGGAGGAGGACGGGGAGGATGAGGATGAGGAGGACGAGAACGAGGAGGAGGAGGAGGAGGAGGAGGAGGAGGAGGAGGAGGAGGAAGAGGGGCAGGAGGACCAGGAGTAGGATACGGAGGATGAGGAGGAGGAGTAGGAATATTTGAAGGAGGAGGAGGAGGCGGAGGAGGACGAGGAGGAGGAGGAGGAGGAGGAGGAGGACGAGGAGGACGAGGAGGAGGAGGACGAGGAGAACATGGAGGACGAGGACGAGGAGGAGGATGAGGAGGAGGAGGAGCACGAGGAGGAGGAGTAGGAATACGAGGAGGGGGAGGAGGAGGACGAGGAGTAGGAGGTGGAAGACGAGGAGGACGAGGAGGAGGACGAGGAGGAGGAGGAGGACGAAGAGGAGGAAGAGAACGGGAAGGACGAGGAGGACGAAGAGGAGGAAGAGAACGGGAAGGACGAGGAGGACGAAGAGGAGGAGGCCGGGGAGGACGAGGAGGAGGAGAAGGAGGAGGAGGAGAATGAGGAGGAGGACGAGGAGGACGAGGAGAACGAGGAGGAGGAGGAGAAAAAGGACGAGGAGGAGGAGGAGGACGCCGAGGAGGAGGAGGTGGATGAGGACGAGGACGAGGAGGAGGAGGATGATGAGGAGGAGGAGGCGGACGAGGAGGAGGAGGAGGAGAAGAACGAGGAGGAGTACGAGGAGGACGAGGAGGACCAGGAGGAGGAGGAGGACGAGGAGGAGGAGGAGGAGTACGAGGTCTACGAGGAGGTGGAGGACGAGGAGGAGGAGTACGAGGAGGAAGAGAACGAGGCGGAGGAGGACGAGGAGAACGAGGTGGACGAGGAGGAGGACGAGGAGAACGAGTACGAGGAGGACGAGGACGAGGACGAGGAGGACAAGGAGGCGGAGGAGGAGGATGCGGTGGAGGACGAGGAGGACGAGGAGGACGAGGAGGACGAGGACGAGGAGGATGAGGAGGAGGAGGAGGACGAGGAGGAGAAGGAGGACGAGGAGGAGAAGAACGAGGAGCAGGGGGTGGAGGACGAGGACGCAGACGAAGAGGAGGAGGAGGACGAGGAGGAGGCGGAGGACGAGGAAGAGGAGGAGCAGGAGGAGGACGAGCAGGAGGAGGACGAGGAGGAGAAGAACGAGGAACAGGGGGAGGAGGACGAGGACGCGGACGAGGAGGAGGAGGAGGATGAGGGCGAGGAGTACGAGGAGGAGGAGGAGGAGGTGGACGAGGAAAAGGACGAGGAGGAGGAGGAGGACAAGGAGGAGAAGGAGGACGAGGGGGAGGACAACGAGGAGGAGGGGGAGGAGGTCGAGCACGCGGATGAGGAGGAGGAGGAGGACGAGGAGGAGGAGGTGGACGCGGACGAGGAGGAGGACGAGGAGGAGGAGGAGGAAGAGACCGAGGAGGAGGAGGACCAGGAGGACCAGGAGGAGGAGGAGGATGAGGAGGACGAGGAGTAGGACAGGGAGGAGGATGAGTAGGAGGACGAGGAAGAGGAGGAGGCGGAGGAGGATGAGGAGGAGGAGGAGGAAGAGGTTGAGGAGGAGGATGACGAGGAGACCCAGTAGGAGGAGGAGGAGGAGGAGGAGAAGGAGGAGGAGGAGGAGGAGGAGGAGAAGCAGGAGGATGGGGAAGACGAGGACGAGGACAAGGATGAGAAGAATGAGGAGGAGGAGGAGGACGAGGAGGAGGAGGACGAGGAGGACGAGGAGGAGGAGGACGAGGAGGATGAGGAGGATGAGGAGGACGAGGAGGAGGAGGAGGACGAGGAGGAGGACGTGGAAGGGGCATGAGGAGGAGGACGAGGAGGACAAGGAGGACGAGGAGGGGGACGAGGAGGCGGAAGAGGAGGACGAGGTGGACGAGGAGGACGAGGAGGAGGAGGACGGGGAGGATGAGGATGAGGAGGACGAGAACGAGGAGGAGGAGGAGGAGGAGGAGGAGGAGGAAGAGGGGGAGGAGGACCAGGAGTAGGATACGGAGGATGAGGAGGAGGAGTAGGAATATGTGGAGGAGGAGGAGGAGGCGGAGGAGGAGGAGGAGGAGGAGGAGGAGGACGAGGAGGACGAGGAGGACGAGGAGGAGGAGGACGAGGAGAACATGGAGGACGAGGACGAGGAGGAGGATGAGGAGGAGGAGGAGCACGAGGAGGAGGAGTAGGAATACGAGGAGGAGGAGGAGGAGGACGAGGAGTAGGAGGTGGAAGACGAGGAGGACGAGGAGGAGGACGAGGAGGAGGAGGAGGACGAAGAGGAGGAAGAGAACGGGAAGGACGAGGAGGACGAAGAGAAGGAAGAGAACGGGAAGGACGAGGAGGACGAAGAGGAGGAGGCCGGGGAGGACGAGGAGGAGGAGAAGGAGGAGGAGGAGAATGAGGAGGAGGACGAGGAGGACGAGGAGAACGAGGAGGAGGAGGAGAAAAAGGACGAGGAGGAGGAGGAGGACGCCGAGGAGGAGGACGAGGAGGAGGAGGTGGATGAGGACGAGGACGAGGAGGAGGAGGATGATGAGGAGGAGGAGGCGGACGAGGAGGAGGAGGAGGAGAAGAACGAGGAGGAGTACGAGGAGGACGAGGAGGAGGAGGAGGACGAGGAGGAGGAGGAGGAGTACGAAGTGTACGAGGAGGTGGAGGACGACGAGGAGGAGTACGAGGAGGAAGAGAACGAGGCGGAGGAGGACGAGGAGAACGAGGTGGACGAGGAGGAGGACGAGGAGAACGAGTACGAGGAGGACGAGGACGAGGACGAGGAGGACAAGGAGGCGGAGGAGGAGGATGCGGTGGAGGACGAGGAGGACGAGGACGACGAGGAGGACGAGGACGAGGAGGATGAGGAGGAGGAGGACGAGGAGGACGAGGAGGAGAAGGAGGACGAGGAGGAGAAGGAGGACGAGGAGGAGAAGAACGAGGAGCAGGGGGAGGAGGACGAGGACGCGGACGAGGAGGAGGAGGAGGACGAGGAGGAGGCGGAGGACGAGGAAGAGGACGAGCAGGAGGAGGACGAGCAGGAGGAGGACGAGGAGGAGAAGAACGAGGAACAGGGGGAGGAGGACGAGGACGCGGACGAGGAGGAGGAGGAGGACGAGGAGGAGGCGGAGGACGAGGAAGAGGACGAGCAGGAGGAGGACGAGGAGGAGGAGGAGGATGAGGGCGAGGAGTATGAGGAGGAGGAGGAGGAGGTGGACGAGGAAAAGGACGAGGAGGAGGAGGACGAGAAGGATGAGGAGGAGGAGGACGAGGAGGACGAGGACGAGGAGGACGAGGAGGAGGAGGAGGACAAGGAGGAGAAGGAGGACGAGGAGGAGGACAACGAGGAGGAGGGGGAGGAGGTCGAGCACGCGGATGAGGAGGAGGAGGAGGACGAGGAGGAGGAGGTGGACGCGGACGAGGAGGAGGACGAGGAGGAGGAGGAGGAAGGGACCGAGGAGGAGGAGGACGAGGAGGACCAGGAGGAGGAGGAGGATGAGGAGGACGAGGAGTAGGACAAGGAGGAGGATGAGTAGGATGACGAGGAAGAGGAGGAGGCGGAGGAGGATGAGGAGGAGGAGGAGGAAGAGGTTGAGGAGGAGGATGACGAGGAGGCCCAGTAGGAGGAGGAGGAGGAGGAGGAGAAGGAGGAGGAGGAGGAGGAGGAGGAGAAGCAGGAGGATGGGGAAGACGAGGACGAGGACAAGGATGAGAAGGATGAGGAGGAGGAGGAGGACGAGGAGGAGGAGGACGAGGAGGACGAGGAGGAGGAGGACGAGGAGGATGAGGAGGATGAGGAGGACGAGGAGGAGGAGGAGGACGAGGAGGAGGACGTGGAAGGGGCATGAGGAGGAGGACGAGGAGGACAAGGAGGACGAGGAGGGGGACGAGGAGGCGGACGAGGAGGACGAGGTGGACGAGGAGGACGAGGAGGAGGAGGACGGGGAGGACGAGGATGAGGAGGACGAGAACGAGGAGGAGGAGGAGGAGGAGGAGGAGGAGGAGGAGGAGGAGGAAGAGGGGGAGGAGGACCAGGAGTAGGATACGGAGGATGAGGAGGAGGAGTAGGAATATGTGGAGGAGGAGGAGGAGGCGGAGGAGGACGAGGAGGAGGAGGAGGAGGACGAGGAGGACGAGGAGGAGGAGGACGAGGAGAACATGGAGGACGAGGACGAGGATGATGAGGAGGAGGAGGAGGACGAGGAGGAGGAGGAGGACGAGGAGGAGGCGGAGGACGAGGAAGAGGACGAGCAGGAGGAGGACGAGCAGGAGGAGGACGAGGAGGAGAAGAACGAGCAGCAGGGGGAGGAGGACGAGGACGTGGACGAGGAGGAGGAGGAGGACGAGGAGGAGGCGGAGGAGGAGGAAGAGGACCAGCAGGAGGAGGACGAGGAGGAGGAGGAGGATGAGGGCGAGGAGTACGAGGAGGAGGAGGAGGAGGTGGACGAGGAAAAGGACGAGGAGGAGGAGGACGAGAAGGATGAGGAGGAGGAGGACGAGGAGGACGAGGACGAGGAGGACGAGGAGGAGGAGGAGGACAAGGAGGAGAAGGAGGACGAGGGGGAGGACAACGAGGAGGAGGGGGAGGAGGTCGAGCACGCGGATGAGGAGGAGGAGGAGGACGAGGAGGAGGAGGTGGACGCGGACGAGGAGGAGGACGAGGAGGAGGAGGAGGAAGAGACCGAGGAGGAGGAGGACGAGGAGGACCAGTTGGAGGAGGAGGATGAGGAGGACGAGGAGTAGGACAAGGAGGAGGATGAGTAGGAGGACGAGGAAGAGGAGGAGGCGGAGGAGGATGAGGAGGAGGAGGAGGAAGAGGTTGAGGAGGAGGATGACGAGGCCCAGTAGGAGGAGGAGGAGGAGGAGGAGAAGGAGGAGGAGGAGGAGGAGGAGGAGAAGCAGGAGGATGGGTAAGACGAGGACGAGGACAAGGATGAGAAGGATGAGGAGGAGGAGGAGGACGAGGAGGAGGAGGACGAGGAGGATGAGGAGGATGAGGAGGACGAGGAGGAGGAGGAGGACGAGGAGGAGGACGTGGAAGGGGCATGAGGAGGAGGACGAGGAGGACAAGGAGGACGAGGAGGGGGACGAGGAGGCGGACGAGGAGGACGAGGTGGACGAGGAGGACGAGGAGGAGGAGGACGGGGAGGATGAGGATGAGGAGGACGAGAACGAGGAGGAGGAGGAGGAGGAGGAGGAGGAGGAGGAGGAGGAGGAAGAGGGGGAGGAGGACCAGGAGTAGGATACGGAGGATGAGGAGGAGGAGTAGGAATATGTGGAGGAGGAGGAGGAGGCGGAGGAGGACGATGAGGAGGAGGAGGAGGAGGAGGAGGACGAGGAGGACGAGGAGAAGGAGGACGAGGAGAACATGGAGGACGAGGACGAGGAGGAGGATGAGGAGGAGGAGGAGCACGAGGAGGAGGAGTAGGAATACGAGGAGGGGGAGGAGGAGGACGAGGAGTAGGAGGTGGAAGACGAGGAGGACGAGGAGGAGGACGAGGAGGAGGAGGAGGACGAAGAGGAGGAAGAGAACGGGAAGGACGAGGAGGACGAAGAGGAGGAAGAGAACGGGAAGGACGAGGAGGACGAAGAGGAGGAGGCCGGGGAGGACGAGGAGGAGGAGAAGGAGGAGGAGGAGGACGAGGAGGAGGAGGACGAGGAGAACATGGAAGACGAGGACGAGGATGATGAGGAGGAGGAGGAGGACGAGGAGGAGGAGGAGGACGAGGAGGAGGCGGAGGACGAGGAAGAGGACGAGCAGGAGGAGGACGAGCAGGAGGAGGACGAGGAGGAGAAGAACGAGGAGCAGGGGGAGGAGGACGAGGACGTGGACGAGGAGGAGGAGGAGGACGAGGAGGAGGCGGAGGAGGAGGAAGAGGACGAGCAGGAGGAGGACGAGGAGGAGGAGGAGGATGAGGGCGAGGAGTACGAGGAGGAGGAGGAGGAGGTGGACGAGGAAAAGGACGAGGAGGAGGAGGACGAGAAGGATGAGGAGGAGGAGGACGAGGAGGACGAGGACGAGGAGGACGAGGAGGAGGAGGAGGACAAGGAGGAGAAGGAGGACGAGGGGGAGGACAACGAGGAGGAGGGGGAGGAGGTCGAGCACGCGGATGAGGAGGAGGAGGAGGACGAGGAGGAGGAGGTGGACGCGGACGAGGAGGAGGACGAGGAGGAGGAGGAGGAAGAGACCGAGGAGGAGGAGGACGAGGAGGACCAGTTGGAGGAGGAGGATGAGGAGGACGAGGAGTAGGACAAGGAGGAGGATGAGTAGGAGGACGAGGAAGAGGAGGAGGCGGAGGAGGATGAGGAGGAGGAGGAGGAAGAGGTTGAGGAGGAGGATGACGAGGCCCAGTAGGAGGAGGAGGAGGAGGAGGAGAAGGAGGAGGAGGAGGAGGAGGAGGAGAAGCAGGAGGATGGGTAAGACGAGGACGAGGACAAGGATGAGAAGGATGAGGAGGAGGAGGAGGACGAGGAGGAGGAGGACGAGGAGGATGAGGAGGATGAGGAGGACGAGGAGGAGGAGGAGGACGAGGAGGAGGACGTGGAAGGGGCATGAGGAGGAGGACGAGGAGGACAAGGAGGACGAGGAGGGGGACGAGGAGGCGGACGAGGAGGACGAGGTGGACGAGGAGGACGAGGAGGAGGAGGACGGGGAGGATGAGGATGAGGAGGACGAGAACGAGGAGGAGGAGGAGGAGGAGGAGGAGGAGGAGGAGGAGGAGGAAGAGGGGGAGGAGGACCAGGAGTAGGATACGGAGGATGAGGAGGAGGAGTAGGAATATGTGGAGGAGGAGGAGGAGGCGGAGGAGGACGATGAGGAGGAGGAGGAGGAGGAGGAGGACGAGGAGGACGAGGAGAAGGAGGACGAGGAGAACATGGAGGACGAGGACGAGGAGGAGGATGAGGAGGAGGAGGAGCACGAGGAGGAGGAGTAGGAATACGAGGAGGGGGAGGAGGAGGACGAGGAGTAGGAGGTGGAAGACGAGGAGGACGAGGAGGAGGACGAGGAGGAGGAGGAGGACGAAGAGGAGGAAGAGAACGGGAAGGACGAGGAGGACGAAGAGGAGGAAGAGAACGGGAAGGACGAGGAGGACGAAGAGGAGGAGGCCGGGGAGGACGAGGAGGAGGAGAAGGAGGAGGAGGAGAATGAGGAGGAGGACGAGGAGGACGAGGAGAACGAGGAGGAGGAGGAGAAAAAGGACGAGGAGGAGGAGGAGGACGCCGAGGAGGAGGACGAGGAGGAGGAGGTGGATGAGGACGAGGACGAGGAGGAGGAGGATGATGAGGAGGAGGAGGCGGACGAGGAGGAGGAGGAGGAGAAGAACGAGGAGGAGTACGAGGAGGACGAGGAGGACCAGGAGGAGGAGGAGGACGAGGAGGAGGAGGAGGAGTACGAGGTCTACGAGGAGGTGGAGGACGAGGAGGAGGAGTACGAGGAGGAAGAGAACGAGGCGGAGGAGGACGAGGAGAACGAGGTGGACGAGGAGGAGGACGAGGAGAATGAGTACGAGGAGGACGAGGACGAGGACGAGGAGGACAAGGAGGCGGAGGAGGAGGATGCGGTGGAGGACGAGGAGGACGAGGAGGACGAGGAGGAGAAGAACGAGGAACAGGGGGAGGAGGACGAGGACGTGGACGAGGAGGAGGAGGAGGACGAGGAGGAGGCGGAGGACGAGGAAGAGGACGAGCAGGAGGAGGACGAGCAGGAGGAGGACGAGGAGGAGAAGAACGAGGAACAGGGGGAGGAGGACGAGGACGCGGACGAGGAGGAGGAGGAGGACGAGGAGGAGGCGGAGGACGAGGAAGAGGACGAGCAGGAGGAGGACGAGGAGGAGGAGGAGGATGAGGGCGAGGAGTACGAGGAGGAGGAGGTGGACGAGGAAAAGGAGGAGAAGGATGAGAATGATGATGAGGAGAAGAGGACGAGGAGGACGAGGACGTGGAGGACGAGGAGGAGGAGGAGGATGAGGAGGAGAAGGAGGACGAGGGGGATGAAAACTAGGAGGAGGGGGAGGAGGACGAGCACGCGGATGTGGAGGAGGAGGAGGACGCGGAGGAGGAGGTGAACGAGGACGAGGAAGAGGAGGTGAACAAGGACGAGGAGGAGGACTAGGAGGAGGAGGAGGAAGAGGCCGAGGAGTAGGAGGACGAGGAGGACCAGGAGGAGGAGGAGGATGAGGCGGAGGAGCAGGAGGACGAGGAGGAGGAGGAGGATGTAAAGGAGGAGGAGTAGGTGGACGGGGAGGAGGAGGAGGCGGAAGAGGATTAGGAGGAGGAGGAGGAGGAGGAGGAGAAGGATGAGGAGGAGGAGGAAGAAGAGGCCGAGGAGGAGGATGACGAGGAGGACCAGGATGACGAGGAGGAGCGGGATGAGGAGGACGAGGAGGAGGAGGAGGAGCAGGGGGTGGAGGAGGAGGAGGAGCAGGAGGACGAGGAAGATGATGATGAAGACAAGGAGGAGAAGGACGAGGAGGAGGAGGACGAGGAGGACGAGGAGGACGAGGAGGATGAGGGGGACGAGGACGAGGAGGAGGAGGAGGACGAGGAGGAGAAGGAGGACGAGGAGGAGGAGGACGAGGAGGACCAGGAGGAGGAGGAGGACGAGGAGGAGGATGAGGAGGAGGAGGATGAGGCGGAGGAGGAGGAGGACGAGGAGGAGGAGGAGGACGTGGAGGAGGACGCTTAGGAGGACGGGGAGGAGGAGGAGGCGGAAGAGGATTAGGAGGAGGAGGAGGAGGAGAAGGAGAAGGATGAGGAGGAGGAGGAGGAAGAGGCCGAGGAGGAGGATGACGAGGAGGACCAGGAGGATGAGGAGGACAAGGAGGAGGAGGACGAGGAGGAGGAGGAGCAGGGGGTGGAGGAGGAGGAGGAGCAGGAGGACGAGGAAGACGATGACGAGGACAAGGAGGAGAAGGACGAGGAGGCGGAGGACGAGGAGGACGAGGAGGACGAGGAGGACGCGGAGGAGGACGAGGAGGACGAGGAGGAGGACGAGGACGAGGAGGACGAGGAGGACGAGGAGGACGAGGAGGATTAAGAGGACGAGGAGGAGGACGCGGAGGGGCATGAGGACGCGGACGAGGAAGAAAAGGAGGAGCAGGAGGAGGATGCAGTGGAGGACGTGGAGGACGAGGAGGACGAGGAGGACGAGGACGAGGAGGACAAGGAGGAGGAGGAGGACGAGGAGGAGAAGGAGGACGAGGAGGAGAAGAACGAGGAGCAGGGGGAGGAGGACGAGGACGCGGACGAGGAGGAGGAGGAGGACGAGGAGGAGGCGGAGGACGAGGAAGAGGACGAGCAGGAGGAGGTCGAGGAGGAGGAGGAGGACGAGCGCGAGGAGTACGAGGAGGAGGAGGAGGAGGTGGACGAGGAAAAGGACGAGGAGGAGGAGGACGAGAAGGATGAGGAGGAGGAGGAGGACGAGGAGGACAAGAAGGAGAAGGAGGACGAGGGGGAGGACAACGAGGAGGAGGGGGAGGAGGTCGAGCACGCGGATGAGGAGGAGGAGGAGGACGAGGAGGAGGAGGTGGACGCGGACGAGGAGGAGGATGAGGAGGAGGAGGAGGAAGAGACCGAGGAGGAGGAGGACGAGGAGGACCAGGAGGAGGAGGAGGATGAGGAGGAGGAGGAGTAGGACAAGGAGGAGGATGAGTAGGAGGACGAGGAAGTGGAGGAGGCGGAGGAGGATGAGGAGGAGGAGGAGGAAGAGGCCGAGGAGGAGGATGACGAGGAGGCCCAGTAGGAGGAGGAGGAGGAGGAGGAGAAGGAGGAGGAGGAGGAGGAGGAGGAGAAGCAGGAGGATGTGTAAGACGAGGACGAGGACAAGGATGAGAAGGATGAGGAGGACGAGGAGGAGGAGGACGAGGAGGACGTGGAGGAGGAGGACGAGGAGGACGAGGAGGATGAGGAGGACGAGGAGGAGGAGGAGGACGAGGAGGAGGACGTGGAAGGGGCATGAGGAGGAGGACGAGGAGGACAAGGAGGACGAGGAGGGGGACGAGGAGGCGGACGAGGAGGACGAGGTTGACGAGGAGGACGAGGAGGAGGAGGACGGGGAGGACGAGGATGAGGAGGACGAGAACGAGGAGGAGGAGGGGGAGGAGGAGGAGGACCAGGAGTAGGATACGGAGGATGAGGAGGAGGAGTAGGAATATGTGGAGGAGGAGGAGGAGGCGGAGGAGGACGAGGAGGAGGAGGAGGAGGAGGAGGACGAGGAGGACGAGGAGGACGAGGAGGAGGAGGACGAGGAGCACATGGAGGACGAGGACGAGGAGGAGGATGAGGAGGAGGAGGAGCACGAGGAGGAGGAGTAGGAATACGAGGAGGAGGAGGAGGAGGACGAGGAGTAGGAGGTGGAAGACGAGGAGGACGAGGAGGAGGAGGCGAAGGATGATGAGGAAGAGTAGGAGGTGGTGGAAAAAGAGGCGGAGAAGGTGGAGGTGGAGGAGGAGGACGAGGACGAGGAGTAGGAGGAGGAGGACGAAGAGGAGGAAGAGAACGGGAAGGACGAGGAGGACGAAGAGGAGGAGGCCGGGGAGGACGAGGAGGATGAGAAGGAGGAGGAGGAGAATGAGGAGGAGGATGAGGAGGACGAGGAGAACGAGGAGGAGGAGGAGAAAAAGGACGAGGAGGAGGAGGAGGACGCCGAGGAGGAGGACGAGGAGGAGGAGGTGGATGAGGACGAGGACGAGGAGGAGGAGGATGATGAGGAGGAGGAGGCGGACGTGGGGGAGGAGGAGGAGAAGAACGAGGAGGAGTACGAGGAGGACGAGGAGGACCAGGAGGAGGAGGAGGACGAGGAGGAGGAGGAGGAGTACGAGGTGTACGAGGAGGTGGAGGACGAGGAGGAGGAGTACGAGGAGGAAGAGAACGAGGCGGAGGAGGACGAGGAGAACGAGGTGGACGAGAAGGAGGACGAGGAGAACGAGTACGAGGAGGACGAGGACGAGGATGAGGAGGACGAGGAGGAGGACGAGGAGGAATACAAGGAGGAGCAGGCGGACGAGGAGGAGGAGGAGGACGAGAATGAGAAGGAGGAGGAGAAGGAGGAGGAGAAGGAGGAGGAGGAGGAGGAGGAGAACGAAGAAGAGGAGGACGAGGAGGACGAGGTCGAGGAGCACGAGGAGGAGGAGGAGGAGGAATACGAGGAGGAGGAGGACGAGGAGGAGGAGGAGGAGGAGGAGGACGAGGAGGAGGAGGAGGAGGCCGAGGAGTAGTAGGAGAACGAGGAGGAGGAGGAGGAGGACGAGGAGGACGAGGAGGAGGAGGAGGACTGGGAGGAGGAGGAGGAGTACGGGGAGGACTACGAGGAGGTGGAGGACGAGGAGGAGGAGTACGAGGAGGAAGAGGAAGAGGAGGAGGAGGACGAGGAGGACGAGGACGAGGACAAGGAGGACGATGAGGACGAGGAGGAGGAGGACTAGGACGAGGAGTAGTAGGAGGACGAGGAGGAGGAGGAGGATGAGAATGACCAGGAGGAGGAGAAGGCGGAGGAGAAGGAGGAGGAGGAGGAGGAGGAGAACGAAGAGGAGGAGGACGAGGAGGACGAGGTCGAGGAGCACGAGGAAGAGGAGGAGGAGGAAGAGGAGGACGAGGAGGAGGAGGAGGACGAGGCGGATGAGGACAGCGAGGAGGAGGATGAGGAGGAGTACGAGGAGGACGAGGGGTACGAGGGGGACAAGGAGGACGAGGATGAGGAGGAGGAGTACGAGGAGGAAGAGGAAGAGGAGGAGAAAGACGAGGAGGACGAGGAGGAGGACGAGGAGGAGGAGGAGAAGGATGATGAGGAAGAGTAGGAAGAGGTTGAGGAAGAGGAGGAGGAGGTGGAGGAGGAGGAGGAGGAGGACGAGGACGAGGAGGAGGAGGAGGAGGACGAAGAGTAGGAGGAGAACGGGAAGGACGAGGAGCACGAAGGGGAGGAGGCCGGGAAGGACGAGTAGAATGAGAAGGAGGAGGAGGAGAATGAGGAGGAGGACGAGGAGGACGAGGAGGACGAGGTCGAGGAGCACAAGGAGGAGGAGGAGGAGGAATACGCGGAGGAGGAGGACGAGGACGGGGAGGAGGAGGAGCAGTACGGGGAGGACTACGCGGAGGTGGAAGACGAGGAGGAGGAGTACGAGGAGGAAGAGAAAGAGGAGGAGGAGGACGAGGAGGACGAAGTGGAGGAGGATGACGATGAGGACGAGGAGGAGGAGGAGGAGGCCGAGGAGTAGTAGGAGGACGAGGAGGATGAGGAGGACGAGGATGACGAGGAGGAGGAGGAGGAGGAGGAGAAGGAGGAGGAGGAGGAGGAGGAGAACGAAGAGGAAGAGGACGAGGAGGACGAGGTCGAGGAGCACGAGGAGGAGGAGGAGGAGGAAGAGGAGGACGAGGAGGAGGAGGAGGACGAGGAGGATGAGGACAACGAGGAGGAGGATGAGGAGGAGTACGAGGAGGGCGAGGAGTACGAGGAGGACGAGGAGGACAAGGAGGAGGAGGAGGACGGGGAGGAGGAGGAGGAGTACAGGGAGGACTATGAGGAGGTGGAGGACGAGGAGGAGGAGTACGAGGCGCAAGAGGAAGAGGAGGAGGAGGACGAGGAGGACGAGGATGAGCAGGAGGAGGACGAGGAGGAGGAGGTGGAGCACGAGGAGGAGGAGGAGGAGGAGAAGGGGGAGGTGGACGAGGAGGAGGAGGAGGACGAAGAGGACAAGAAAGCGGAGGCGGACAAGGAAGAGGAGGACGATGAGGAGGAGGAGGAGGAGGAGGTGGAGGAGGAGGAGGAGGAGGTGGAGGAGGAGGAGGAGGAGGTGGATTAGGAAGAGGAGGAGGACGACGACGAGGAGCACAAGGAGAAGGTGGACGAGGATGAGGAGGAGGAGGACGAGGAGGGTGAGGAGGCCGAGGAGGACGAGGAGGAGGAGGAGGAGTAGGAGGAGGAGGAGGAGGAGGAGGAGGACTAGGAAGACGAGGAGGAGGATGACGAGGAGGAGGAGAACGACGAGGAGGAGAACGAGGAGGAGGAGGACGAGGAGGAGGAGGATGAGGAGGAGAAGTACGAGAAGGAAGAGGACGAGGGGGAGGAAGACGAGGAGAACGAGGAGGACGAGGAGGAGGACGAGGAGGACAAGTACGAGGAGGATGAGGACGAGCAGGAGGAGGACGAGGAGGATGAGGAGGAATACAAGGAGGAGCAGGCAGACGAGGTGGATGAGGAGCACGAGGTGGAGAAGGAGGAGCATGAGGATGAGGAGGAGGAATATGAGAAAGAGGAGGAGGAGGATTACGAAGAGGAGGAGGACGAGGAGGAGAAGGAGGACGAGAAGGACGAGGAGGAGGAGGAGGCCGAGGAGAAGTAGGAGGACGAGGAGGAGGAGGAGGACGAGGATGACGAGGAGGAGGAGAAGGAGGAGGAGGACGAGGAGGAGGAGGAGGAGGAGAACGAAGAGGAGGAGGACGAGGAGTACGAGGCGGACGAGGAGGAGGAGGAGGAGGAGGAGGAGGACGAAATGGAGGACTAAGACGATGAGGATGAGGAGGAGGACAAGGAGGTCGAGGAGCACGAGGAGGAGGAGGAGGAGGAAGAGGAGGACGAGGAGGTGGAGGAGGACGAGGAGGATGAGGAGAACGAGGAGAAGGATGAGGAGGAGTACGAGGAGGACGAGGAGGAGGAGGAGGAGGATGAGGAGGAGTACGAGGAGGACGAGGAAGACGAAGAGGAGGAGGAGGACGGGGAGGAGGAGGAGGAGTACGGGGAGGACTACGAGGAGGTGGAGGACGAGGAGGAGGAGTACAAGGAGGAGGAGGAAGAGGAGGAGGAAAACGAGGAGGACGAGGACGAGCAGGAGGAGGACGAGGAGGAGGAGGAGGACCACGAGGAGGAGGAGGAGGAGGAGAAGGAGGAGGTGGACGAGGAGGAGGAGGAGGACGAAGGGGACAAGAAAGAGGAGGCGGACAAAGAAGAGGAGGACGAGGAGCAGGAGGAGGAGGAGGAGGACGATGAGGAGGAGGAGGAGGTGGAGGAGGAGGAGGAGGAGTTGGAGGAGGAAGAGGAGGAGGACGAGGACGAGGAGCACAAGGAGGAGGAGGACGAGGACCAGGAGGAGGAGGACGAGGAGGGTTAGGAGGACGAGGAGGAGGAGGAGGACGAGGAGGACGAGGAGGACGAGGAGGAGGAGGAGGAGGAGGAGGAGGAGGATGAGGAGGAGGAGGACTAGGAGGAGGAGGACGAGGAGGACGAGGAGGGGGAGTAGGACGAGGAGGACGAGGAGGAGGATGAGGTGGAGGACGAGGAGGAGGAGGAGGACAAGGAGGACGAGGAGGAGAAGGAGGCCCAGGAGGAGGAGAACGCGGATGAGGGGGAGGAGGAGCAGGATTAGGAGCAGGACGAGGAGGAGGAGAAGGAGGACGAGGAGGCGGACGAGGAGGACGAGGAGGACGAGGAGGAGGAGGTGGACGAGGAGGAGGAGGTGGACGAGGACGAGGAGGAGGAGGAGGACAAGGAGGAGGAGGAGGAAGAGTCCGAGGAGGAGGAGGAAGAGGAGGACCAGGAGGAGGAGGAGGATGAGGAGGAGGAGGACGAGGAGGAGGATGACAAGGAGGAGGAGGAGGACGAGGAGGAGCAGGAGTAGGAGGACGAGGAGGAGGGGGAGGCGGTGGAGGATGAGGAGGATGAGGAGGAGGAGAAGGATGAGGAGGAGGAAGAGGCCGAGGAAGTGGATGACGAGGAGGACCAGTAGGAGGAGGAGGACGAGGAGGAGGAGGACGAGGAGGAGGAGGAGGAGGAGAAGGAGCAGGAGGATGAGGAAGACGAGGACGAGGACAGGGAGGAGAAGGACGAGGAGGAGGAGGAGGAGGACGAGGAGGACGAGGAGGACGAGGACGAGGACGAGGAGGATGAGGGGGACGAGGAGGATGAGGAGGACGAGGAGGTGGAGGAGGACGAGGAGGAGGATGAGGAGGGGCATGCGGAGGAGGACGAGGAGGATAAGGAGGATGAGGAGGGGTACGTGGAGGAGGAGGAGTAGTACAAGGAGGAGGACGAGGAGGGGGAGGAGGAGGAGTAGGAGGACGAGGACGAGGAAGAGGACGAGGACGAGGAGGAGGAGGAGGACGAGGAGGAGGAAGAGGAGGAGGAGGTGGATGAGGAGGAGGAGGAGGAGGACGAGGACGAGGACGAGGACGACGACGAGTATGACGACGAGGACGAGGAGGAGGAGGAGGAGGAGTAGTACGAGGAGGAGGACGTGGAGGGGTTGGAGGAGGAGGCGGAGGAGAAGGACTTGGATGAGGACGAGGAGGAGGAGGAGGAGGTGGAGGAGGAGGAGGAGGAGGAGGAGGAGGAGGAGCAGGAGGACGAGGACGAGGACGAGGATGAGGAGGACAAGGAGGACGAGGAGGGTTATATGCGCAGCTTTGTTCACTACGGGCACAGCTTGCGGTCTGGTCCTCGTGGGAGCCTTTAGGGCGCTGTGACCCCTTCCGATGTTACACCTGCCGCCTCTTTTGGCCCGCTCCCAGTCGTTGGTGTTGGAACCCATGTGGTTAGAGGATTTTTAAGAAATGGTTAAAAAAAGGTATGTAGGCCTTAGAGTGGAGTTTTTTTAGCATTGCAGAAACGTTTCCCAAGCAGTAGACATTACAAATAACAATAGGCCTCTGTAGAATTGGCTTTAGGATGGCAACAAGGTTATTTAATGTATATCTTCAGAAGATTAGCATGTTCTTTGTCTCTTATGAACTAGTCTTTGTTTTAGCTACCATTACGTATGTTTTATAAGATTGGATAAAATGCTTGTCAATATGTGTTTTCTGTGTGTGATTGGCTGAAAAATGTAGACTGAGATGATTTTATGTATTGCTGTATGAGCCCTCCTGGAGGAGACATTTTGGGGTGGATCAGTGACCTGTCATGTCTCCATTTTGTATTCTGAGACTTATGTGCTGGAAATAAAAGCAAAGATCTCTTCACTGGTCTGTTTACAATGTTATCTATATTTGGATATTTGTCGCGGCCTAGTGGGTTCCTTTTTAAAGACGTGGGTTCCTGACACAATTGGAGTTATATCTACCCATCCCTCAACAAGCCCCTGGCCAGGCAGATCCTGTCCCTCCCTCCTTGCTCAGGGCTCTTGCCGGGATGGGCACTGGCATGTGGGGATGTGCAATGGCAAGGGCAGGAGCATGGGGCGGCCCCTGCCAGGCTGCTGAGCAGGGACAAGGAGGCAATGAGGCCCCAGGTCTGCAAGGGTCACTTGTCTCCTGCTCCTGCCTCAGGCCCAGGGCCAGCAGCCATGGCCAAAGTGCTGCCCAAGTTGGCTCTGGCAGGGCTGTCTTGCAGCTGCTGCCCATCCCTGTGCCAGGTGCAGCCCAGGCTGTCCCACGGTGTCCCTGCCCTTTGCCTCTGTCCCTGCAGGCTGTTGGCATCCCCCGGCTGCCCCACCTGGCTGGCCCCTTCTTTGCTGACAGCTCTGCCTCCTGTCTGCCTCTGCCTGCCCACACAAACCCTTAGCCTTGATACCAAACACTTAATTCAATTCAAAACCAAAAGCTTAATTCAGAAAAGCAATTCAATTTTTACTGTGCCTATGAACTTTAGGCACAGGAATAAGGCATGCCAGGGCTGTCTTCCCAGCACAGATTGTTGGGAGGCAAGAAGAAGGCTTTTGGCTTAAGAATGCAGTGATAGAAAAAAGAAGGACTGAAACTGGGAACTTGGAGTGGATTTTATGGTAATGGATAAATTGTAATACACATTTAATGACACTGATAGAATTACATGTCCACATAAGGTTAGGAGTTATCCCTCTCTAGACCTCAGGCCTGAATAAATGATACCCACTGAAATAGTAAATTTGTGTTAAGGAGTCTTATTCTGATATTTTGGATGATGGCGGGGCCTCACAGAACCAAGGAGTCAGCTGTGACACTGAGCAAACTTATGGAACAAAGGGTCCATGGTGACACAGCAGAACCCCATGGAACCAAAATCCATTTTGGCACATTGGGACCACATTGAATCAATGGCCCATTGTGATACTGTGGATCCGAGGAGACTATTGTGACCCTGAGAAACCTCTTGGAACCAAGGGGCCATTCTGACACAGCAAGGCCTGGTGGAACCATGAGTCCAGATTGACACTATGGAACCTCACGGAACCAAGGTGACCGTGTTCAATGGCGGAACCTCATGGAACAAAGAGACCATGGTTACACTGCAGAACCAAGGAGACTGCTGTGGGCAGTATGAACATTCATGGAACCAGAAATCCATTGTGACACAGCAAGGCCTCGTGGAACCAAGGGTCTGTTGTTAAACTGTGTGGCCTCATGGAACCATGAGCCATTGTGACACAGTGTGGCCACATGGAATCAAGGGGACAGCAGTGAAAACTGTGGGCCTCCATGAGATGAAGAGTCCATGGAACCAAGGATACCATTGTGACACTCTGGGGCATCATGGAAGCAAAGGTCCATTGTGACACAGCAGGGCCTCATGGAACCATGGAGGCCATTTTTACACTTTGAGGCCTTGTGAAACCAAAGGGCCACTGTGGCACTTGAGAGCCTTGTGGAGCCAAGGGGACCACAGTGACACTGTGGGGCTCAGTGAAACCAATGGTCTGTTGTGACACTGCAAGGCCTTATGGAATCATGGAGCCCAATGTGACACCAAAGACCTCACTGAACCAAGGGGCCATTGTGACCCTACAAGGCCTCATGGAAGCGAGGAACCATTGTGACACTATGGAGTCTTGGAAGGCCAAGGGGCAGTTGTCACATTTTGTGGCACCATCGAACCAAGGAGACTGCTGTTGGCAGTACAAAAGCTCATGGAACCAAAAGTCCATTGTGACATTGTGGGGCCGCATAGAACCATGGAGACCATTATGACACTTGGGGACCCACTGGAACCAAGGGGTCATTGTGACACTACAGGGCCTTGTATAACCAAGGCAACCACTCTGACACTGCAAGGTCTCATGGGAGCAAGTGGCAGCTGTGACACTGGGAGGCTTCATGGAACCAATGAGACCATTCTGGCACTCTGAGTCCCCATGGAACCAAGGGACCATTGTGACATCACAGGGCCTCATGGAACCACGGCAAAAACTGTGACACTGCAGGGACACATGGAACCAAGGGACCAGTGTAACACATCCAGACCTGGTGGAACCAAGGAGCCATTGTGACCCTGAGGAACCCAGTAGAACCAAGGGGCCATTTTGAGACTCTGTGACCTCATGGAACCAATGGGCCATTGTGGCATTGCGCAGCCCCATGGAAACAAGGGAACCATTTTGACACTGCAAGGCCTCATGGAAGCAAGGAGCCATTGTGCCACTGTGGAACCAAGGAGACCATTGTGACATCACTGGGCCTCATGGAAACAAAGATCTCTTGTGATCCTACAGGGCCTCATGGAACCAACGTGCCATTGTGATGCTGCAGGGCCCCAAGGATCCAAGAACTTTGAACAGGTCTGGCTAGCTGGGCCTCCTGGGGGCTGCCTGACTGGTCCTGCTGACCTTGGCATGTTAAGGGTTGCTTCTAATCAGCCCCTGAAACCCTGGAGTTCTGTGCTTTCCTTCCTGTGGGAAAGAACTGTCTTTCTCCTCCAGGAGTTCATGGCCAAAATTGGGATTCCTCCTCCAAATCTGATTATATCCAAGGATTATTCCCGCATGTTACCTGCCAGTACAGACAGCTCTGGCTGGCCTTGGCCTCTTGGGGGCCACCTCTCATCTGCCTTCAAAACACTGGGGGCTGTGCTTTTCTTCCCATGGAAAAAAAACCATCTTTCAAGTCCAGGCCTCCATGGCCAAAATTGGGAATGCACCTCCAAAATTCCTTATATCCAAAGATAGCTCCCAGACAAAAGCTGCTAGGACTGTTTATGTTCCCTTGATTTCCTGAGGGCCAGCTCTCATCTGCCTTTGAAATGCTTGGGCTCTGTACTTTCCTTCCTATAGAAAAGAACTGTCCTTCTTGTCCTGATGCCCATAGACAAAAGTGGGGTTTGGCCTCCCAAATTCTGTCTGTCCAAGGATTCTTCCCTGACAATAGGTCTGGCTGCCTTGGCCTCCT